TATATATATATATATATATATATATATATATATAACTTTAAATACCTCATCTCGTGTCATATCGCATATTTCTAAGACCTGTTGATTCTGGCTTTCTGAAGCTTTTCTTAGTGGCACGCTGTGGCCATCCGTATGCAAAAAGTGTAGTATAACTCAGTGTTCTAAACGGTTTTCTGCAGTATTTATGGTTTTTCGTTTCAATTTTGAAGGGCAAATCTTTTGTTTGGCAGTTTATTTTGGATCATTATAGTTGTGCAAGAAAAGCGAATTATAGCCAAAAGCTTCTTCTTTAGAAGAAGCTTGAGAAATACTCGTTCTTGATTGTTAAAAGTAGAAATTGATTTTTTTTGGATCTTCGTACAAAAAGGTAGTAAAATTTGACCTAAATTTTACTGTGGCTGATATTGTATGTAGTAATAAGTAAGGTGAGCTGCCTAAACCCTGTTTTAGTGCTACGTTTCAGTGCAAACCGTTTAGGTAATCGGCTTACACCTTGGGTGACTTAAGTGTTGATGTCGTGTGAGTGAGATGATCTTGATTAACTAACCAGATTTAGATTATTTGGAGTCAGAAATTTTGCATTTTTATGAATTTTTCTGCCATATAACAGTATTCTTCGCTTTATGGTTCGTCAGTTTTCAACAGTTTTAGATTGATAGATATTTTGTGGAGAAGAGAATTTTGAAAGGAAAATTTTTATAGTCGAATCTAAGAATTCAGTATTTTTAAAAACTTTTGGGGTCATGAGTTTCATGTTGATTCTCCGGTTGTGCGTAAAAGTTGTTCGGTACAAGTAGGTTGCACATTTTTAGGAGTGGGGAGGGGTGCGTAAACGTCTGGTTTAGTGAATGAGGATTTGAGTTTAAAACTCGCAAGCCAGATAGTGTTTAGTGGGAAACCGCAAATTTTTAACAAAGTTAAACAGAGTAAATTGTCAGACTTTTCCTTTGCTGTTAGTTAATCAAATTAAGAAAGTCTGAATTAACAAACGTCAAAAATATATAATTTAACGGGTTGTAATTCTCATGTATATTACTCCCGTCATTTTCATGAACTTTTTAATTAGTCATCAGAAGTCATTAATCCATGTTTTTTGTCCTTATTAGTTGTAAACATAGATAAATGGCAATATGGTAACAGTTTCATTACTTGACTTTCTGAGCTCACAATCACTGCTATCCCAATTTTTTTTTACAAAATGCGAATTATCGATTTGTTGTATTTAAGTCTGCTCGTAATCCCAGTCCACGGCCATCAGGCCAGAAGGATGATGCTGGTAAAGTCACTAATGGAGGTACACAGACCGGTGCCGGGAAACCTCGAACTGATGGAAAGATATTGAGATGTTATGTAGGCCTTTATTTCATTAGAAATATTCCGTATTAGAAGCAATGATTTATTGATTATATGATTTTAGGACTTTAACCACACCAAATGCACATCTTCAATCGAAAATTGTACAGGAATTGTTAATTGTTCTCCTGACTCTTTTGATCACGAAGCTTATTGTTTCAGCGTTATACCGATGGTGCAGGGAGTTATGAAAGAGGTACTGCAGCATTTTGATCATTGCTCTTAAAACTATATTGCTTGTTCATGAACTATAGGTCTATAGAAATCTTATGGGTTTATTCACTTTTCTTAAAAATTTTGATTGATCAATAAAAACCAAAATCAGTTTTATTTTCTGTCATTTAGCAAAGGACGAGTTGTGCTTAAGAATAGTTTGTCTGCTGAAGCATGACACCATTTGGAAATGAGTTTTTTCCTTGTTAGTATATTAATCTTGATTATTTTTGGAGCTACAGGTTTTGAATTTAGAAGTGGCTATCTTTTTGTTTTGAATTAAGTAGCAATAAATCAACTTGTATTTTACTTATGAAGCTTAATTTAGAGAGAGGCGATCAAAGGATGTTTTAGTCAAGGAGTCACTAGTGCCGAGTATTGCCAAAATACAGAGTGTAAAGCAATAAGTCGTGGAAAAAAAGATGCCCTTTTTTGTTGTTGTACTACGGACTTATGTAATGGAGAAATGATAAATGTTGCAAACGGTTAGTCTTTTTTCCTCAATTTTCTTGACAGTTTGTAGTTTTATTTTTTGGTGGTTTCTTAGCTGTAGTACAGCGTCAGAGGAATTATGTTCTATTCTAATAACTTTTATTTTTGGAATGATTATTTGTTATTTATCTGTTTTAATGAGGGGTAATGGCCTCATTTGGTTGAAGAAACATATAGAACTCATTTCAGCAACAAGTCAAACGGATTCTGGGTTGCCGTTCAATGATGGAGGCTCTTCAAGCTTCATTGAATATCCTCACGCAATAGCACTTGTTGCTATTGGTGTTGCTCTCCTGTGTCTTATGTTTTTGACTTGTTGGTGGTACTTCATGCTGAGGATTCGTGCAAAGCGAGAGGCAGTAAATTCACATTCAGATCAATAATTTTTTTTATTCTTTTCTAATTAATTTTTATTGAGTTATTAGGTCATGAATGATTATGAATTAACTGATTTCTTTTTAGGTACCTGGGGTAAACACTGGTGGCTCAACGGATGATGCAGAACAGCTTCTGATTATGGGGAACTCCCAAGAGTCGTTGAACGTTACTCACTTAGAGGTTTTTCAATGTTTTAGAGATTTTTTCTGCTGCTTTTTAAACCTGCAAAAATTCTTTTGAACACAGTGCTTTTCCTCAAAGATTTTGAAGAAATTTTACTCATTTAAAACATTTAATTATCTGATTAACTGAAATGCTTTCTAAACCTTTCACTTGAAATTGTGGAGTAACCACGTGAGTTTCAGCTGTGGAGATCTTTAAGTGATGGTTTTCTCGCAACTTTATTTATTATGAACATTAATTATACTGGAAACTGTTTTTCTTTTTTCATTTATATTCACATAGTTTTAGCAAATCGGAAGAGGTAGATTTGGCGAAGTGTATCGTGGAATTATACATGGTTCTTCCGTTGCAGTCAAAATTTTTCCAAAAACGGAGCTTAACAGCTGGAAGACTGAAAAAGTTTGCAGTGTTGATTTTTTTGTTT